CGCTGCCTCCGCTTCTCCGAAGGCAGGCAAAAGGCCCCGTCCGTTACCGACACCGCTTTGCTCTTGGAGCAAAGCACGAACTGCTGCAGCGCTGGGCGGCTCCCGGTTCCTAACGCCGAGCGCCGGACACGGGGAGGCGACGCTGCTGAGGAGGCCCAGCTGACGGAACAGCCTCTAAGTGCGACTGAAACCTGCCCTTCACCTCCAAGCCGAAAGAAAACGGGTGAAAGGCGTCTCACGCAGCCCTCCAGATCCTGCTCCTCTTACTAAAATGAAGAGTAGAACCTGGGGGAGAACCTAGGATTTAGCGGGACTGAAAGATCGCCTCCAAAAAGTCCTTGTCTTGTTAATGAAGTAAAGCTAATGGCTTCCCTTCTCCCACGAAGGACGCCTCCGCGCCATGTGCGCCACAGCTCTTGCACTTCACACCAGACAGCTGGCGGACTGGAAAGAAAACAACTACAGTAATGGGCCACAGGTCCAGCGGTGCCCTACCACAGCCTCGCTGCAGCCCACGGAACTTATTACTGAATCAAATTTAATGTAGACTTTGGAGTTAATTAAGTATAGGCTGGATTAAAAAAACGCCAAAAACCAGCTTCTAATAAGTTTATTAATGCTGTCAAAAATTCATGCTTATGGAAAAAACATCTAATAATTTTATATTCTTATTAATCATTCTCGTTCCTCCCTAATAACTTGACACGCTAACAGTGTGGCTGTGGTGATGAACACAGACTGCACTTCACAACGCTGTACCTCCACGGTCACTTGTTACGCTAAGGCTCTAGGTAACCACTTCAGAAAGAGGTTATTCAGTTATCATTCAAGACACTCACAATTCTAGCTATTTATTTCAATGTACTTTTCAGATTAAGTCCACTCTATCAAAAATAAACACAACTCATCGCAGTATTTTGTATCAATATATTAGCAACTGCTGAGAAAACGTCCTACTAACAGCGCATGGAAAGAGTTGCCTGTTAAAAGTAATGAGGTGAATAACAATGTTGAAAACTTACATTTGAGAAAACATATACAGATAATTATTGTGAAAATAAGATTGCACAAACGATATTTTGCATAGAGTACAACATTGTATGGTTTTTGTGTTTATGGAAAATATAGTTAAGAATAAAAATACGTATTTCAAACTTCTTTACATCTGGATGAAAGTGAAGACTATTAAACTATAAACTATTGAACATTTACAGATTAGGCGAGTCAGAACTATTACATTTCCATGATCGCAAGCGCAGAAGAAAAAGGGCACAGATTAGTTGTATCCTAATCAGTACGTTACTGCATTGTCCACGAAGACCACATTTGTAAGCTCCACACGTCCAATTTAATGTTACCCTGCTGATGTTGAGCAGACACCCATATGAAATTCCCCAGCTAAGTTTTAACCTTCCCCTTTGAAGCCCAGAACCCACAAGACACTTCCGCAAGCATATACCCGAGTGTTTTGCAGTAGCAAGAGCCTCGAGAACAACTTGAGAAATGTAGGTGTACCTTTGCTTTTCCCACAGCTGCCATGGTTGGACTAACGAGTTTCTGCACTGGCAGGCTGCTGGAACTTCGGTGCCTCAACGTACGACTGTTTGGGAAGATAGTTTATTCATTTGGGTTTTTTTGGTTTTCTCCAGAAATGGATGGATTTTTTAAAAAATTAAAATAAATCGAGCTTGCATGAAACCTTAAAAATAAATGGTTCTATTTCTGACTTTCACGTTATTGCATGTCTGGTGGAAGTAAGGCTTTTGAGAAGCAGCAGCAGCTTCACGGATTTCAGATCTACTCGACTTTTCCCGTAAGATCAGACAGCAGTAGCAACCATAGAGAAACCAAAACGTATAGATAGTAATGCCAAGAAAACGGTCTCATTTGGCTCTACTACAAACATAGCAGGTTCTCAGGAATACTATCCCTTGCACACATTTATTGCATGATGTCCAACAATCCAAGTATTCTTACAAAGAAAAAGGTCATTTGAAATTCAGTCATTGCAAAAGCCGTGTTTGCCTGACACGTTAGCTCGTTCTGCCTAGCAGCACAGCTTCATGTAAAGAAAATGTGACATTTGAGGACTACTAGCACGGTACTGATCTGCTAGTTTCTAGATTATGGTTATTCCACTTCAGTTCTGTGTCATGAAACAGTTCGTGGAGAGCTCGTGCAACACAAGACTAAGCTTAGACTGATTTCAGAGCCGTACAGCAGTCCTGCTGTTCATCTTTGGAAGACCTTTAAGCAATATTATTTTCTATATCTAGATCCCTTAAAAAAAGTTTGAGCTACTGAGCTAAGACACTGCTAACCCATCAGCTTAAAACATGTAAGAATAGGTGGAAAAATGAAAATCTGACAGAATACTAGAAGTCAATAATGGCTTTCCAGGTGTTACAAGTTTTTTTTAAGAACACATCTGAGCCTCAGACAGTACCATAATTGTATCAGTTGATCTGCGTTATGGTGGTCTTCAAACGAAACCACAATTCCGGTATCACTTTCTGGCAGTTCGAGGTTTGTTTCCCCGCTGCTCTCACAGACATACTGTAAGACAGTACTGGACATGGACGGCTGGACGTGGTCCCTGAGGTTCTGCTTCTCGCTCGGAGTGAACGTGCAATTCATCTCTCTATGATCCAGCGTGGCCTCGTAACTAGAGAGCCATTCCTCTTAGTCAGTGGAGGAGAGGCATGCATTGCATTATTCGACATGTAGACTGCCTCCCTTGAGGCATGCAGCCAGCTTCGCTTCCTTTTTAGATTTCCTGCAAATGCTCTAAGATACAGAAACTCCATTCTCAGGAAGTTTTCCCTGGTCAAGTCTCTGGAAGCCACTGTTATCCTGACCAGCTGGTCCAACACCTTATTCTTCCGGCAGCTGGATAACTCTTTGAGGTTGATAGGCTTTGACCGTGCATAAAGAATGCGAAATTCCAGGTCAAAGTGTGCAACTGCGGGGCCTGACAGGACCAAAATGTTGCTGCTGTTCAGCTTCCCATCTGTCCACGTAAAACTAGCAAAGGAAGGATGAGAAAATTGAATGAGTTAATTGAAAATAAATCGTAAACAAAGTATTAACTGAAAATCCTCTTTCATCACATTTAGTCAGATTGTTCTTATAATCCAAATGATGAGCAGCGTGCTCTTTTTAGGACAAATGTTACAAATAAACGTTACAAATAAACTGTGACAAGGAAAGCAGTTTTGCAACGTGGCTGTTTTTCCTTTCCATGTAAAGAAACCACGTAAAGCAACAGAGAGAAATTGGCACTTGCCTGTAGGAGCCCGTTGTCACTCTAATGCCATCAATTAACATGAACTTTTCACGGACTTTTCCAACAATTTTGGCGCCCGACCTCGTGTAGTATGTGTTCCCAGTGATATTTCGAATTCTCATCAACTGTTAAAGATACGATGAGCATCATGCGGATTTCAAAGTTAAACAATTGTATTTAAAGGAGTAACAGACAACGATAATTATCACTGATGAACTAGCAAAGGTTGCTGCGCAGTGGCACAAGATTTACCCTCTAGGAACCAAATGATAATTTTGTCTTGTTTTAGTAGGCAAAGAGGCGGCATTAAGGGGCAGACCCATAAACTGACTGTGCAGAATGTGATTGTAAAAACTCCTGTCGCCAAACCTCGGAGGGACCCAAACTCCACAGACTCCTGAGAACCTGCTTCTACATCAGCCTTCAAAGTGTCGGCGAGCAACTCCAGCCATCCTTCAGGAACTGGACATTCCTCCTGCATTTCCTTGAATATTCGATTTGTATTTGTGCTCAGAAAGCAACTGTAACAGCCACTTACAAAGATTTCAGTTTTTCTGTTAATTGCCTTCTTATGCAAGACTGGTTAAATCTTCCAAGAAAGCGCTAGAGCTACATGAAACCCACTTTAAGTTGTGACAGCAGGCAAAATAGTTTCTTCTTTTGATCGCTCAAAGATTAGAGTCATAAGAGGATCAACTCTCTATCCCTATAAATATGACAAGGCTCACCTTTTCCTGTTCCAGGTCAACTCCCAGATCCTTGCACATTTTCAGAAAATGGGAAAATGAAGACTGATCTAGAAGGATATACACTTTAACTTGCCGCTGGCTACAAGCTTCCAAGAGGTCTTTGAAGATATCAGTATCTGTGAAGGAATCCATAACCAGGGCAACCATCTGCAACAAGTTTCAGAAGAAATCATTAGGCTGTTTCCACAGCATCCCAAGGGAGATGGCACATGAGGAATTTGACTTTCAAATTAAATATTCCCCCCCCCCCTTTTTCTTTCCTGGTGGTTATGGACCATGGTACAGTCTTCTGTGATATGGTATATTCTTCTGTTGTTCACAGGACTGCTGAAACATTTAACAGACATATAAGAAAGAGAAAAGAAAGGAAAAAATAACTGATTAGAATAAAGTTCTGTGGAGAGAATGGTATTTTGGTAACGGTGATTACCGAGTGCAGTACGCTGAGGTACAGGAGACAAAATATACATCGCCCCTTCACTGTGATCACTTATTCATGCCCCTGTACAGTTAAATAGAAAAAAAAACCCTGAATTTATGAACAGAAATTGTTGTTAAAGATTATTTGCCCCAATCTTGTTGACGCTTGACCGACTTATAGCAGATAACATCATTTAAGGTTTTTATTATCGCATTGCAGAATTTTGGTTTTTACTATAATTTCAGCAGCAGACATTGAAGCTTCTTTTGCCGGGATCTGTATCTTTTCTGGTTCATTAGGTACGAGCAATCTAGCCTGAAAGCCTGTTGTGGAAGGACACCTTTTCTCTACTTAAAAATCAGAGGTCATCACTAATGAGCAGCAATGGTAGCTCCTGCATCTGTTCAGTAGCATGTTGCTCATGGTTTTTAATTAAGGTTGTACTAAACCCTTCCCTTTTTTACTACATAACTTCACCTTCAAGAAAAAATTGCAGAAATCTGAGCATTTTCTCCTTTCCCCCCACCTCTAGAGCAGTGCCAAGAACAACAAAGGCAGAGGGAGACTTGACACCTCTCCAAAAACCTAAGCGAGCTGATAAGAAAAGTATTTTGCATGAGGAAAAGAAAGACATTTTGCTGTCAGCCTTCTTCAGCTACATCAGTAACTTCTGGTGTAACAGGATCACAGAGTTGATCGTGGAGATGTTTGGGGGTGCTGAGAATACCTCGGAAGAACCAGAACTGTGGCAAAATAAATGTAATGCTTCAGGTTTCTTCCTCACCCTGAGATACGGCAAAATCAGGGGTCGAGTTCTGTGTTAGACAAATTTGGTCTCGGATTCCTAGGCAAGAGGTTTTTTTTCCTGAGAACAGATGTCTTTGCCTCAAAAGCACTGCCTGAAGAAAAAGGTGAGCTTATTTCCAAAACCTAAGTTTTCCAGAGTCTTTCAAACTTTTCAAACATGAAAAGAAACAGCAAAAAAAAAAATTCACCGGTGTCCGACTGCTCTTTACGTCTCACCTCTCTATTTAAGATAAAAATGAGGTTTGTCTTCAACTTATTATTCAGATTCTCATGGTATTTCAAGCCAAGATCTGATGATTCGCCCAGGCTCCTTGAGTAAAACCTCCCCCGAGAGCCAGCTCCTGCCCTCGCAGATCTCTCCCACGGCCTGAGCCCCGAGGTTTGCTGTCTATCCGCCATACGATGTGGAAGCAACGACTACTTAAAAGAGCTGGGAACGGGCACGTTTGGGACGTATCGCTCACAGGTGCCAACTCCCTGAGCGAGCTTAGCGAGGCCCGGATAGCACGGACTCGGTTTTCATCGATAGGGGGGAAAAAAGCTTGCGAATAATGAACCTATTAAAAAAAATAAATACAAAAGATGGTGAAAAAAAATAAAGCAATAACAAAATGGCATAGTGAGTAAAATGGGGAGTTTATTTAAAAGTAAGCGAAGGGGGGAAGGACGAGGTGGATCCCGGGAAGCCGGGCGGGAGCGG